GGAGAAACTTCCTGACAGTTAGAACAATTAACCAGTGGAATAACCTGCCTCCAGAAGTGGTGAATGCTCCAACACTGGAAGTTTTTAAGAAGAGACTGGACAGCCGTTTGTCTGAAATGGTGTAGGGTTCCTGCCTGGGCAGGGGGTTGGACTCGATGACCTCCAAGGTCCCTTCCAACTTTATTATTATTATTATTAACTTTTCAATCCTAGTTATCAGCAGAAAGTCCATAAAGGGTTGCTAGAATATTGCAAAAATGTCTCATTATAACCTTGATCAAATATACCAACTTTAATATTACAGCCTTTACATTTAAGTCTTAATCTTTAATTTAATCAAATATTGTCATAATATTTAATTTCTCTTCAATTCTTCTTTATCTCATTGCAGGTTTTTTTTCAAAGTTTTAACAAGCCTCTTTTGTAGATCTAGTAAGAAAAGATTTTCCAGCTCATTTTCTTGGTTTATCATTTGTATTTTTCTTTTAATTTTTAAAACAAGCAAGTTTTTTTGTATATGCAGTAAAACATCCTCTTCCAAATTATTATCTTGGCCTGTCATTTGTGGTTCCACATTCTATACTTTTTCTGTCTTGTCATATAATTTTTTCCACAGCTGTCATTCCTTCGTTAATATATTTTTAAACATTGTCTATCCACAGAAGCAGACATCATTACTGACAGTATGGATATTGTAACTTCTGGCTCAATTCTTCAAAGATTTCCTTTAATATTTCCAATGTTATAACATTTTGTATCATTCTGTAAGTCCAAGCGTTAACTGACATTAATTCTCTTTAAAATCTTTAATCCACTCTAGTGTCCAGTTTCTAAAATCATAACTTATCTTTTGTTATGACTTGCAATTGCCAGGATAGCCAAAATAAGTCTTTCCCATGAGAAATTGTTTTATTTTTATAGCTAATTCCAAAATCTAAATCTTTATATGGAGCTTAATCAATTTATAATTTTCTTAGATAAAAATCTTATTCACCTTTTTGCTATTTATTTCAAGTCCTAAGTTTTTAAGCTTGTAATTTTCTTTTGAGTTGGAGATAAACTCACTTGATAAAGACTTTTCAAACTTGTTCTGAAGGTCTCTAATAGCTTTAATGTAGTGAATAGGTAATTTCTGAAAGTGATTAGAAAGTAAGCTTTGCAACCTTAGTGTTCTTTAAAACAGCAGTCTCCAACCTTTCTGGCTTTATGGACCAGCGGAAAAGAGGAGATAGTTCCACGTGAGCAATGGGAAAACAAGTGCGTGAAGGTCCATTTGAACAAATGGAGCTGGGTGCATGTGCCCACAACCTTCGCGGCCCAGTTCTAAACAAGCCACGGTCCAATAGTGGGCACAGCCTGGGGTTTGGGGACTCCTGCTTTAAAAGGCTTTGCTATGGGTGCAAGCAAGATGGCTGATTCCATCATTTCCCAGGACATAAACCCATGGAAAAAATGTTGTCCTGTGGTTTCTTTGTGAGAAGCAGCCATCCAAAGCACATTGGGTGATTTCCTGTTGTCTCCTTATTTTGAGAGGTGCCAAGGAAACAGTTTAATCACTGGTTCCTTAGCCTTTGCTATAGTTGTCAGCTCTGCTTTTGCAGAGGTGTCTTCAGGTCACCATATCTCGCCCCAATGGAGAAAGAAAATGATGCCATTGTACATTTCATCCACTCTAAATTAAACTGGCTGCTTAAAACATAAACCACAGACGAGTTGGATGCCAAGTCATAAGATTAAAAAAACCCACAAATGTCATTCTATTCTTTAAAAAAGCTTAATTCCAAGATACTTATGATACTTGCCAATAGCATGGGTATCAAACAATAAGTATCAAAAATGCAGCAACAGCCTAAGAAGAGCCAGATACCTGTAGCCATGAAGCGATGAGTGGCCAGTAGCAGCTGTGGTGAGATCTTTACTCTCATCTCACTATCCGAAAGTC